TTCCAAACAATATTTATGTAATTGGGGGGGGTGTATGAATACATTTACATCTATTAAAGTAAATTCTTGGTGTGGGATCTGGATTCCAGCCTTTTGCAGTGCAGTTGCATTCTGGTTTTATTATTCAGTCTTTCCTACTGTTGTGTCATGTGCAAAACTGGATAAATATGCTTTATTTTTATCCAAATGGTTGATTAAAGTGTTACCCAAACAGAGCCAAAGACAGAGCCCTGTGGGAACCCACCAGAGACCTCCATCTCTAAATGATCAGATCTTCTGGAATGTTTGACTTAGGACTCCACCTAACTTTATTACCATTACCCCTGCCTTTTTCCATCTTGTTCATAAAGATATCGTGCCAAACTCAATACATGCTTTTTCTATTTCAATTTCTCATGGGTAAAAAAAATAGTGGATCCAGAATTATTCCTTCTTAGAGAGAGATAATAGTTTCATGTAATCACAAGGTACAGTGCTGGCCCCCACCACCATGCCCCAGGGCTCAGGGTATAGCTACATGGGCTTGCCAGAGTTTTTTTTTTATTGAGTTGATAAAAATCCAGCAGAATTAATAGATCAGAACATGGAAGGGAGCCTGGACGAGAAGCAGCTGGGACCAGACAGTTTGGTGTTGCACATGTGGCAACCAAATTCCATTCAAGTGTCACCTTCTTTCTGCTGAAGATCCTGTTTAGATCTGGTGCTTGTCACGATCTCTGGTCGTGACAACAGAAGGGTTACTTGCGAAAGTTTTTCAAGGACTGCCTCTGAAATCTGCCCTCGGGAACTACAGATGGAGGGAGAGATGCCGAGGGCTGTGGCAAAGCCCTCTGAGGGGAGCAATAACTCCATACAACAAAGGAGACGGGGAGGTGCCCTGTATGGGTTTTGACTCAATATGGGAATCAGGGAAGTTGAAGAATTATCATGCTGGCAGGGAAAATGAAGCAACTTTGCCTTTTTTTTTTTTTTAAATATTTTATTTATTTATTTGAGAGAGAGAATGAGATAGAGAGAGCATGAGAGAGGGGAGGGTCAGAGGGAGAGGCAGACTCACTGCTGAGCAGGGAGCCCGACGCGGGACTCGATCCCGGGACTCCAGGATCATGACCTGAGTCGAAGGCAGTCACTTTAACCAACTGAGCCACCCAGGCGCCCCTGCCTTTTTTTTGAGAGAGAGAGAGAGCACTCAAGCAGGGGAAGGGCAGAGGGAGAGAGAGAGAATCCCAAGCAGGCTCCACACTCACTATGGAGCCAAGGTGGGCCTTGATCCCACGACCCCAAGATCATGACCTGAGCTGAAATCAAGAGTCGGTGCTTAACCAACTGAGCCCCCCAGATGCTCCCCCCTTTTTTTTTCCATCAGTTTTTTTTGGTTTTGGGTTTTGGTTTTTTTAGAATTCGGCCTTATCTTACAGTTCCTCCTTTGACAGTCTACTTTCCCAAGAGGCAAATGTCCATTTGGCTTGGGGCTCGTGGGAGCGTGACCTGGGGTTAACCAGAATGTGCCCATCTTCACTGTCCTTCTCTCCACAGCTTACATGCAGGAGGGGGAGATGACTACAGGGGAGATCAGGGGAAGAAAAGGCAATGGGGGGGCCACTGTAAAGGAAAATAAGAGGAAAGCTTAAAATATAGAGTGACCATGGTCATTTTATTAGATTCTTTACTCAAACATCCACTTTGGGGAAAAAAAGGTCTAAAACTGACCACACAAGTGTTGGCAGTAGACAGAACCAGAAATCTGGCCCTGGTTACATTAACTCCATTAGGCCTGAGTTCTTTCCTCTGTAAAATGAAGGCCAGGAGGCACCAGCTAAAGAAGTTCTGTGACCTTGTCAAACACCAACATTTTAGGCACTGGAATGTTCCATTCTGAAGGGTTAAGAAAGCTCTAGCAATCTGGAGGTTGCAGAAATGAGGGTCAGGCACTGATACAGGGCCACACAAAGCCATCTGCATACCTGGAGCGTCCTAAAGCTGGGGGCCGGGGGCGGGCAAAGCATTGTCGGCCTTGGGTGGAAGGGTTTCCAGAAGATGCCCACAGGTTGGACCCTAGAATGTGCAGTGGCCGACCATCTACAACCTGGAGGCCAATGGCCCAGATCCCGGATCTCAGCAGTCCAGAATGCTCCAGAAAGATTTTTCTGATGACTCCCGCCTCCAGTTCTGCAATAATTCCATGTTTCAGATTGGGGCTGGAACGGAGGCAAACCTGCAAACCCTGATAGCTACAGAAGGAAGTGAGTGGGCCAGGAAGGAAAAGATCAGCTGGGCACAGTTCGGCTCTCGGCAAGAACGACAAGTCTAGAAATGCAGGAAGGAAACCTGAAAGAATGCCCGGGGGGTGGGGGGTGGGGGGTGGGGGGCGGGGTGTATGTTACTGCGGCATTTCCAGGGCCAGGCTGTCCTCTTTGTTTGGGCACACTTTTCCTAACAGAAAGCCAATGTTCTCATCACATACTCGTGGATGTTAATAACAGCATATAAGACCGCTGTCTGCAAAGACGCCTGGTTGCATGCAAATGGGCTGCAAATACCTTGGAGGGTTTCACAAAAATAAGACTCCGGGGCCATAAGAGTCTGGCAAAGGAGATGGGTCCTCTGACGACGACGGTGGGAGGGAACGCGCGAACTGCTCGAGCATGCGAGCCTTTTAAAATGGGACGCACTTGCCTCGAGCCCACGGAATGTCTGCAGTTCTGCCTAGGTGCCCTTCACGGGAAAGCAGCTCTTAGAGGTTTGCTTTTGCAGAGGCCCGGCTCCCCGAGAGCGATCCCTGAGGTTTTACCGCCATCCAGTGGAAGCCTGGAGTATGGCAGCTGCGGAACGGCCCCAGCCTCAAGGGAGAGGCAGAGAGGAGACACAGCCTATCTCCTGCCCGACAGTGAAAGATGAGAGGAAGATTGCTGAGCTTCGTTTCATTATCACCCATTTAGTTCAAAGGAGATGCCATTTTGGTTCCCGACCATCAATCAACGGACATCACTCAAGGGCCAGGCTGGGCTGAATTTGCACATTCTATTTCAGCCCAATGAAGATGGAGACCTACGGAAGGTCTTTGGAAACATCCTCTCCAATATCATAGCAATCGTCAGGTGCCAACACTTCCAGTCCCTGCCATGTCCCTATTTTAACAGAAGAGTTTAATTATGTCCCGAAGGCGTAAGACCTGAAGACAGGGTAGCAGGGGGAGGACAAGGGCTGTTCCAAACGGGGAGCATTTATCTACCTCCTGGCAAGAAAAAGAACTCAGTGAGGGGATGGTCTACTTGTTCCAATGCTGTATTTCTTAGAAGAGAAGCCAGCAATCGGTACCAGTCCTGTGTTTCCTCCTGTTTCCTCCCCCCAGTCATGGGGATACAAAGGCCTGGCAGATCCTCTTTCCTAACAAGAAAGCAGATCCAGGGTCGTCTGTGGCTTTCCCTTTCACTCAGCCCCCTTTGTTCAGTTGATGGGCTAAAGACCAGAGGAGGAAAGAAAAGAGGGGAGGGACTAGGTGTTTCTTGAGTACCTACACTGTGACAGGCAACAGACGTGAAATTACACTGTGTTCTCCTCCCAAAAACCTCACTGGGTTATGGGCTCTTAAGAAAGACCAGAATGGTCTAGAAGGATCCAAATCATGATTTGTAATTCCCCCTTTTCAATACAAAACTAGGCTAATGTTAGTGCAAGGCCATGTGAGAAACAATCAACCAAATCTTTGTGGAATGTAAACATCCTTAATTCTGAGTGTCATCAGTTCACCTCCAACCTCACCTCAACCCTCTGCCCACACCGGGTTTTTCTTTTGATGAAAAGCAGAGCTTCAGGCTCTTAGGAGGTAAACCCCTAACTCGGCTACAAGTTTTTAAACGTCATTCTGTTTCAGTACATGGGGATTTTTTTTTTTTTTTCCTTCACCAAAAAGTGTTTCCTATGGCCCTTCCCCACAGAGCTGTTTCTGGGATTAAGTAAATAATAGTTAGGTACCATGTCTTTTCCAAGGACTATTATGAACCGATTCTGTCAAACAGGGATCTGAATGTATTCCCTTCTACAATTACACCTGTGAGTTGTGGAGCTGGCTTTGAGGTCTCCCCCTGTCCTACTTGGCCTGCCAAACCCCATTCCAAGGTTGCCACTCCTCTGCCTTCCTGCAGCAAAACTTCAGGATCCGTGACCCTTCTTGGATCCCCCTGTCACCCTTGCCCCTCACCTCAACAACTGGGGAAAACACACTTCTCTTAGACGTAAGGAAGAGAAGGAGAAACGCGTGGAGAAGGGTCAAGTGCACGCCCAGCGGAATTGAACCTTGAACTTCAGCTCCGGGACCTCAGCTCTGCGTGAAGACAAGTGGGACAGCCCCACTGTCTCTCCTTCAGGTCCACTGCACACCCCCCGTACGGCCCGTCTGCCATCATGAAAGACTTGCCACCACATCTTTATTGCGTCTCCAAGTGAGGAGCGGTGAATAACTTATTATACAAGGAACACTCCCCATTTGTAGACGATGCCCACTTACAGAACACAGGTGGTGAACGCAGCATGAAGCTGTTTACAGAAGCTGAGGAGCAAGGGGGTGACAGAGGAATCAGTGCAAGGAATTTAGCGCAAGGACAGTGCACGAATTCTTCTGGCAAGTGGGATACACAAGAGGAAGTTCTGGGAAAGCATGCAGGGGAGCTTATGTCCAGGGATGGACAGCAAGTTTGGAATGGTGACCAGTGAATTGGTGCTGGGGACCCACAGGGGTCCCGTGGTAGCGCCACAGCGATGAGTATATTGGGGGTGACCTTTAGCCCGTCCTACCCAGGCAAGATGGGAGGGTGCCAGTCAGTTGGCTTCCAGTGTAGATTTCGGCAGGGACAGGCCTTGGCTGTTTTTGCTCAGATTTGCAGTTCTGCTCTGGGCCAAGCGATCCTCACAAAACCAGCCTTGAGGGAGAAGAGCTGGCTCCTGAAGCTCACTGAGCCAGGAAGTGGTCAGATGACCAGAGCTTTAGTCACTTGTGAAATGACTGGGCACAGTAATGGGCACACCCTGAGTTGCCGGAGACTCCCTCCCACTTAAAAGAAGTATCCCAAGCCTGGGACAAAGGGAAAACACGAGTGCTTGGCCCTGGAGTCTTGTTAGCCCCCCAGAAACTCCAGAAGGGAAAGCAAGTTCTTCCCGAAAGGTTTTGTACAGTTTCCTCAGGTGCCTCGGGATTTAGCCCATATCCCTCGGGACTCCCCACCGATTGGCTGACTTGCTGTGTTTGTCCCACTCTTCTGAACGGCTAACTGCCGTCTTTCCTTCCTTCGTAGTCATTGTAAGGGCTAGTCCGAGTCTGGGCCCGTGGAATGGAGAAATCCTTTTGGGAGGTCCGATTCTGAAAAGGAAGCAGCCATATTGTTAAGTCCACTCCAATTCCCGGATATTTCAACAGAGCTCCGATCTGGGCAGGAACCTTAACTTTCTCCCCTTCTCCCATCCCTCCCCCTGAAGCGCCCCTCCCTGTGCCCTGGGAATACTCCAGGAATTCTAGGAATCCTCCAGTCTCCCATGCTAACCCGTGAGGCAGATCACAGGAAAGGAGACACGTCGTCCTTCCAAGATGGCCATCCCGGGGCCCTCAGAATGGCTACGACCTGTGTTCCCGAAGGACAGACATTCCCAGAGAGCTAATGCCACTGACAAAAAAGGAGAAAGAAACCATTTACCTGCAGCTGAAAATGGGTGGAATAAGGAGCATAGAGCGTATCACCTAGCTCTTCAAGACCTGAAACAGAGGGAGAGGAGGGATTACAGCATTGGGGCCCCACCGGCTTCCTGCTCCGGCCGGTGCTCACCCCCCCCCCATTCATTCAACTATCAAAACATGCCGTGCTATCCGTTTGTCTGTCTCCCCAGGAGACCGTACGTTTCATGGAGGGAGAGACCGTCCCAGGGCCAGGCACAAAGTAAGCACCACATTGGAGGAATAAATGAACAGAAGGTCACTAGGGGAGCCCCTTTCCAGAAAACCTCCCTGGCAGCGCACCTCACCCCAGGACCACTTCAAAAGCACATCTGAAACCAGTCTTTTCAGAATTAGATCTGGCCAGAAGATGTTACCTGGAGTGAATCTCACTGAGGATTTACCCACTTCCTTAACTGCCCACAAGGAAAGGAGAAAAAAAAAGTTTTTTTTCTTTTTACTTTCTTTGAGAGGGGGCGGAACTTATGAGCAATTGTTTTCTGTGTATTTGGGGAAAATTAGAGGGATTTAAACTCTGGAACAGAAGAGCAAAGGCGTACAATCATCATGAATACAATTTAAAGCAATCCATTTATTTCCCACCGAACGTACCCATTTAGTTAACTTCACACACACCTCAGATACTTTCTCTATATAAGATACTGTGGAAAATCTAAAGATTAGAGGCACCTGGGTGGCTCAGTCGGTTAAGTATCGGTTAAGTATCTGTCTGTCTTCGGCTCAGGTCATGATCCCGGGGTCTTGGGATCAAGTCCTGCATCGGGCTCCCTGCTCCGCGGGGAATCTGCTTGACAACTCTCCTCCCTGCTCATGCTCTCTCTTGCTATCTCTGTCTCTCTCTCAAATAAATAAATAAAATCTTTAAAAAAAAAATCTGAAGATTAACCAGAATGATTCCTGGCCTGTGGCCAGGCCTGGGGCTGACACTGGAGAGCAAGGGATATAATGACATCTATACAAATAGTTATGGAATGAGACACACGCTGATAAGAGCATTTCCAAGTCCTACAGCTTGCAGGCAGAGTGAATAATGAGAGACTAGGGAATGTGTGACTCTGGAAAAGGATGAGGGCAGAGAGAAGGACATGCCTGGAGCCTGAACACACAGGCAGGGAAAGGCAGTGACTTGGTTTGTTTGGCCTGAGAGCGCAGCTTCCATGGGTGTTGGGTTCTGCCTGTGAAAAGCCTCCCTATGTAAATATGGCGGGTACTGGGGAGCCAGCAAGGTATGTGAGCAGGAAAATGTGGTAGTCTGGGAAGTATTTTAGGGAGAGGAAGGTGATAGTGGTCCATAAAATGAATGGAAAGAAGGATGAGAGGGAGGCATGTACTTAGGGAGTGATAACAGGGAGTCCAGGAGTGTGGTGACAGAGTGAAGGCATGAGAATGGACAGGAGCCGATGGTGCTAAAATATCCCTTCCAGCTATCCCTGCTTCCATTCCGGCTTCCAAGTGCCCAGGAGAGGGACCACAGCTGCTGTGAGAAGCACAGAGAGCTTTGCACCTCGGGCTTCAAGGGCAGAGAAAATTGTTAGCTGAAGCTAAGGATCTCGCCTTGGAGGTCCCTCACTTCGGTGCCAAACCCATCCCCCCTCCCTTGATTAGGCTCAGAGATCAATGACTAGATTCTGTGGGGCAAGGACAGTCTCAAGCTATCGGGTGTGTGTGTGTGGGGGGGTGGGTGTGTGTGTGTGAACAACGTAACACCTGGTTACTCACAACTTCAGGCAAGAGCAAAATCATTTGACTCTTTTATGCCAGATACAATCTCTTCCCTCCCACAGGCCCAGAGGCACGCAATAAGATGTGGCTCTTCAGGATAAATCAGAATCCCCAGTAACTTTATGGAGATCCCTGCTGGCTTATGATAAAAGGGCATTCTCCTTCCTCTGTGCTCTGTGACCACAGCAAGAAATCACAGCGTGGCTTTCTATATTCAGATCTATAAAGGCTCCACATTTCTGGAAGGAACACCTAGTTCTCTTTTATAAAGAACACAATCTCACCTACTTGTCTCTAGAGATTTTTTCAGTCATTCCTTTGCTCCATCTTATTTCGACTCAGAGAAACCCACAGGGTATTGTGTAGAAAGTACTAGATAAGACTCCCAGGGCCAGCTTCTAGTTCTATTAGAACTCTAACCAGCTGGATGTTTTTAAGCAAGATCCGAGCCTTGGGGACCTTATCTATTCTGTCAGGGGTATGACCTGGATCATCTTGAGTGTTAACTATAGTTATAATATCCTATGATTCTCCCCCCGTCTTTCTACAAGGGATTCTCACCCAGCCATGCTCTGTACCTTGGGTGATTTCCTCTTGAGAGTAGGCTCTGTTCTCCATACCATAGCTCTGCTTCATGAGTTGAGGCTTACAAAACGTATCCTCAACGGGGTAATCCATGGGGTTCCGCTGCTTTGTGAGCAGCCGAAACTCAGGTACAACATAAGCCAACAGGAAAACCCAGCCATTGGCCACCAAGGCTGAGCTGAGGATGGTATCATCCCACGCGGGGCCAAAGGTAGAAATCAGGAGCAGGGTGATCCAGGCCACCCAGATGGCGATGGAGAGAAGCATGGTGAGGAAGATGTGGACCCCGTGTCTCTTCCAGCCGCTGAAGGATCCACAGAAGATGAAGCAGGACATGAGGCAGGTCAGCGCCATCAAGAAGAGGACATAGATAAGCAACATGACAAAGTCTTCGTTGCGCCGAGAGGCAGAAAGCTCAGAGAAGATGACGACATTGGTCCTGTTCATGGTGAGGATGAGGTACTCAGCAGCAATGATGTCCTGCACCAGGCTGAGGCCCACAGCCAGGCTCAGCATCACCAGCAGGGACAGGGGCCTCCTCCCATGCACCAGCTTCGTCAGGTTGAAAGCATGAACCAGGAGGCAGGAGAAGCAGAGGGAGAAGAGGACTCCGAAGAGGAAGAAGCGGGTCGGTCCTGTGCTGCCATCAAGTTGGATGATGAAGGCAAAGGTGAGGCCGAAGATCCCCAGAACGCCCAGGAGGAAGAGAAACTGGGTCGGGAGCACTTTTCGCCTGTTGGAGTCTTGCACCTTGCAGATGAGAATCAGGAGAGCGAACACGAAGGCCACTGAGGTCACAGCTCCAACTGCGGCCACTGCTTCTAAGACGATGCCCCAAATTGCAGTGGTATCACAAAGTCTGTGGTACCTGGCGTCCAGGCTTGAGGGGCAACCACTAGTGGATGTTGTGGCCATTCTGGTCCTGCGTAAAAGCAAAGTTGCGGGGGAGGGAGAGGTGACTCTTCTAACAAACTCTTGGCACAGGGACCCAGAAAGATTAGGAAAAACTTTCCTATGTTTGGCCAGGGTGTTGCCCCTGAACTTGCTACATTAGATAAAGCTACTAACTTCTCTCAAGCTCTCGTGGCAAATTCTAAAGACTAATGAAGGAAAAAAACAAATCTCCCCACAATTAAGCTATACTAATGTGTACGCTGATGCCAGAGAACTCAGTGCTCTGTTGAGGGGTTCCAGGGTCTCATTTCAAAACATAACTCGCCAGGGTTCCTGATATTTCTGGCTTAGTGTTTTGTCAGAATTCATGAACACGGAAATCTCTAAGCTTAAACTTTAATCATAATTTATCAGTCTCAAGTTTTTTTCCACCTTTGCCTCTGTTTCAGACATTTGTAAGCCTCCCATTCTTTTTTAAAAACAGATTTTATTTATTTGAGAGAGAGAGAGAGCACTCGAGCACGTGACGGGGGAGGGGCAGAGGGAGAAGCAGACTCCCCGCTGAGTAGGGAGCCCAACGAGGGGCTCGACCCCAGGACCCTGAGATCATGACCTGAGCCAAAGGCGGACGCTTAATTGACTGAGCCACCCGGGCGCCCTGTACGCATCCCATTCTTTCAGTTCTCTGAACTGTAGATTTCTCTATGGAAGGACAAACATCCACTTCACCACCACTGGATCCTCTTCTTTAGCTCTGCTATCACATGTTAGAAGGGTTTTTTCCCTCCTTAAGTTTTATAAGGATGGCTCTACTCTTAGTGATGGAAAGAGTCTTCTCTGTCATAACGAGTTGTTTATTAACTAGGAAGTCCTGGAGGACACACACAAAAAAAGTGGATTATCCAACGAAAGATATTACCAATAGCTAATGCTCATTTTTACTCTGAATCAGAAACTCTTCCAATCACCTTTCATATATATTAGTTTAATTTCATAGCAACTCTAGTAGGTAAAAAATATTAGCGCTATGTTACAGATGAGAAAACTGAGGCAAGTCAAGTTACCTGCCCAACATCATACAGTGAGGAAACGGCCGAAGCAGAATTTGGACATAAGTCATCTGGCTCTAGGATCCATGCTCTCAACTACAACAGGTACCACCTCTCGAGTGAGTTCTAGTTGGCCTTAAATGCAATCTGAAATATTCTCATTCTCTCTGTCTCCTCTTATGTCTGCCCCTTTTTCTCCCTCATCAGATGCCCCATAAACCAGCTCTGTTTATGGTCTTGATTCCACTTAGTTCAGCCCCACACAGGCTGGGAGCTCGCAGGTGATAGATGATCCACAAAGCAGGTAATCTGCTTACGCACTCAAGGACAATCAGAATTGACGGGCTGGGGGCGCCTGGGTGGCTCAGTCAATTAAGTGTGGACTCTTGATTTCGGCTCAGGTGGTGATCTCAGGGGTCGTGAGATCAAGCCCCACGTTGGGCTTTGTGTTCAACTCAGAATCTGCTTGTTCCTATCCCTCCCCCTCTATTCGTCCCCCTCCCGTTCCAGCTCAAACACACTTTCTTTCTCTCTTTCTCCCTCAAATACATAAGTAAATAAAATCTTTAAAAAAAAAAAATTGACTGGCTATATTTCCCTTATATCTCTCCTTGATCTCCCGGATCTGCTTCCTTCTCTGCTCCCACAACCTTCGTGTCAATTTTAAACCCAGCTGATGTCCCAAACCTCATGAAATCTAATTCCTAAGAATTCGGGGCACGGTGGAAAGATAAAGTGGGAAATTGGAAGAGAGAAGGAGTTTGTACATTTCCTTAAAACATACGGCACTCAAAGTCCAAAGTCAATGTCAGGTAAGACGTTGAAATTCAAAAGTGCTACGGTTTTTAACAGTTCGTCAACAAACTAATTTTTTTCTGGATTATCTGGCTGTTTATCTAGGACACCATCCCTTTTGTTTTGTTAAATGCTATTTGTGCATGAATTTTTTGGGGGGGTGGCTTTAGATTTTCTTTTCCTGATAGGATTGCTCACTCAACAGTGAAAAGTTCTGAACTGACTCGAAGAGAAATACGGTCAGGGCAGGGAGTAGGGGAGAGTTAGAGGAAGAGAAGGCTCACTGAGAACCCCTCCACACAAAATTATCAGTGAAAGATTTTGGCCTCCTCTAAGGCCAAATGGGGAGAGACTGTGCAGAAAGGGATTAGAAAGAAGGGGAACCGCTGGGACTGGGAAGCAGGAAAAGGTAAAAAACATTCACTGCATCCTGCCTCTTTCCTTATAGCAGAAAAACAGCTCAGAACGTCTTCACCACATGCCCATAAATGTGTATAGACAAGATTTCTCTGGCCCTTCACAGCTCTATGGGATGCTGTGATCAATCCAAGGAAAAAGAACACCCATTTCTCCTTCTTCCATCTTATGTCTTCAAGATCCAACCACAAGTCAGGGAAGCAGCACAGTGGGATACGGAACGAGCCATCACTCACTAACTGTCCAGGGCAAATGAGCCTCTTCCTCAATGTGGACAGAACTCAAACATCTGCTTCCCTTAAAGATATAAAATCTGGGGGTGCCTAGGTAGCGCAGTCGGTTAAGCATCTGAACTCTTGGTTTTGGCTCAGGTCATGATCTCAGGGTCATGGGATCCAGCCATCGTCTGACCCATCTGTTGGGCTCTGTGCTCAATGGGGAATCTGCTGGAAAGATTCTCTCCTGATGCCCCGCCCCTCCCCCTAATAAATAAAAAAAGATACAAAATCTGCATTTCAGTTAGATGATAGTTATCGCCCTAGCACTGTTTTATTCTCATGGCAATTAGGGAAAAAATTATATGTATACATACGCAATATAAAACACATACTTACATACATGAATATTATGTATATGCTGGAATACTATAGGTGTGGTGTATTAGAATAAAATAACTTAAGTAATATAAAGAGCAAATAGTTTATAGCTTCAATTAGCTTTTTAATGAAATTTGGCTCGCCAAGCTTAACTTTGTATCGTATTAAGTCGTTCACTCAACCAGTATTTCCTGAGCACCACTATGTGCCAATCACTAGGCTAGAGAGTCAGTGGTAAAGGGGAAAACAGACAAGTGCCCTAGCATGGTGGAAGGGACAGACAGACAGACAGACAGAATCTGCCACTATGGCCATAGGCTTCCCACAGCCCTTCGTCACCAGGGGGTCTGTCACCTACATTCTACCGCAGGGTCACCCCTACCGCAGAGCACAGAGCAAAGAATGGGTGAAGAACGGGTCACGGGTCCCGTTCTTCAGGGAAGCGCAGGATGAGAAATGGGAGGAAGAGGGCAGGCATCCCCTGAAACACGAGTCCCCAAAGTCTGACTTGCCTTGGCCAGTCCACCACTCTGGTGGTGGTTCGGGGAAGGGAGGTGTAGACGGGACTCGCTTGTGGGTACCAGGAGTATGGGAGAGGAAGAAGCTCCCCAGCCCGGGGCTGAATGCAAGCACTGCGCACACCAGGGAAGGGAGAGACCCAGGCGGGGCGCATTTCTTCTGCGCTCACCTTTACCTCCCCACCTCACCCCCTCTCAGATCCGCCATAAGGGCAGTGTCTAGCTGCAAAGGTATTTCCCCCTCCCAGGCCCTCCCCACCCTCCCATGCCAGTGGTTCCTTCCCCACCCCTCAAGGTAGTACTGTCCCTTGAGGAGCAGTCATCAGCATCACCCGGGAACCCTGAAGGACTTCGGGCTTGAGGACTCTAAGTCTTGACAGAGATCCATGAGGCGTTTGCCTAAAGGATGGTTGTGGTGCTGGCCAGAGGAACAGTGAGGCAGAACCTCCCACCCCCAACTTGGACCTCCAGGCCGCTCCCTTCTGGTGGTGGCGGGGCTGCGTCTCCAGCCTCCTGGCATCCGCAGACCAGGCTCCGATGAGAGCAATGGGCCACGGGTGTGGAGAGGGGAGAAAACAGATTTCCCTCAATTTCACCCCACCTCCCACCCCAATCATACACGGGAGATGGGGAAACAGACCCTGAAGTGCCTTAGAACGTTGTTTTTAGGGGCGCCTGGGTGGCTCAGTTGGTTGGGCATTTGCCTTGGGCTCTAGTCATGATCTCGGGGTCCTGGGATCGAGCCCCAAGTCGGGCTCCCTGCTCAGCAGGGAACCTGCTTCTCCCTCTGCCTCTCCGCCGCCCCCCACCCCCGCCTGCTCTGCTTGCTCTCTCACTCTCTCCCTCTTAATAAATAAAATTTTTTTTTAAAAATCCACTGTTTTTCAATAAATGTTGACATTTTCAAGCATACTCGCAAAGCCCATGGGCTCATCACTTGGTTTCAGAAATTACCAATATATGGCCAGTTCTACTTCATCGCCATCCCTACCCCACTTACTAGATTATTTTTAAGCAAACCCCAGACATGATACCATTTTATGCACAAACACTTCAGTGTGTATCTCTAAAAGATAAAACTCCTTTTTAACTTAACTGCACTTCAAAAGTTAACAATAACCCTATAATATCAAATATCCAGTTAGGGTTCATATTTCCCAGTTCTCTCACAAATGTCTTTTAAAATTTTTTCTTAGTAAATACGTTTTTATCTGACTGACTAATTTTGTCGGAATTATCCTTACTTCACCTCTGTTAGCCCTCCTCCACCTCTTCCTCCAGCATGACAGGCATTGTGCAATGGGTCTAAAATGTCCCAAGTACTCTGAATTTGGTCAGAGGAAAATGAAACTCACCGGACTCATTAACAAGCAGCTCTGTACAGAGAAGGCCCTGTGTCACCCAGGGAGTGGTCCAGATGAGGAAAAGAGACAGGGAAGATGGCTAGGGGAAAGGACAGGGTTCTGAGAAGCTAAAAAGGACTGCTAGAAAGCGAGGTTTGAGGGGAAAAAGGGACGCAATCAGCATTTGGGAATATGAACTGCCAGGAGCTAGCGAAACAGCCTTGAAGAAGAACATAAGGGCTGGGGCAAGAAAGAGAAAACGGAATGCAACCCGGGGTTCTTTGCCCATCGTTTGTAACCAAA